CAGTGGTGTGATCTCCGCTCACTGCAATCTCCGCCTCCTGGGTTCAGGCAATTCTCCTGCCTCAGCCTCCTGAGTAGCTGGGACTACAGGCATCTGCCACCATGCCCAGCTAATTTTTGTATTTTTAGTAGAGACGGGATTTCACACCATGTTGGCCAGGACGGTCTCGATATCCTGACCTTGTGATCCACCCACCTTGGCCTTCCAAAGTGCTGGGATTAAAGGTGTTGAGCCACCCTGCCCAGCCTCTCATTTTTATATTAATTACCTAGCAGGCTTTAGTAATGTCAGCAAATCAATGTCTGCAAATCAAAGTTACCAACAGGGAAAAGGGAGAGAAGTCCGGGTAGGGGCCAGGCACAGTGGCTCATGCCTGTAATGCCAGCACTTTGGGAGGCTGAGGTGGGCGGATCACTTGAGCCCAGTATTTCAAGATCAACCTGGGCAACAAAGAGACCCCATTTCTACAAAGAAACTAAGTCCACGCAGGGTACTGGCGGGTAGCATTGCTTCTACATGAAATAATTCCATTTATAAAGGTTTCAGGCCAGGCGCGGTAGCTCACACCTGTAACCCCAGCACTTTGAGAAGACATGGCAGGTGAATCACCTAAGGTCGGCCAGCCTGACCAATATGGTGAAATCCCATCTCTACTAAAATACAAAAAAATTAGCCAGGTGTGGTGGTGCGCGCCTGTGGTCCCAGTAACTTGAGAGGCTGAGGCAGGAAAATTGCTTGAATCTGGGAGGCGGAGGTTGCAGTGGGACAAGATTGTACCACTGCACTGCACTCCAGCCTGGCGAAAGAGCAAGACTCCATCTCAAAAAGAAACAAAACAAAACAAAACAAAAAAACCCACCAAATTTGCCGGGCACAGTAGCTTACCCTTGTAATCCAAGCCTGAGCACTCTGGGAGGCTGAAGCAAGTGGATCAGTTGAGGTCAGGAATTTAAGACTGGTCAGCATGGTGAAACCCCATCTCCATTAAGATGAATACAAAAATTAGGCATGGTGGTGTGTGCCTATATTCCCAGCTACTCAGGAGGCTGAGGCAGAACTGCTTGAACCCGGGAGGCAGAGACTGCAGTGAGTTGAGATCACACCACTGCACTCCAGCCTGGGCAACAGGGCGAGACTGTCTCAAAAATAAAGAAAAATAATTTTTTTTTTTAAGATGGGGTTTCACCATGTTGGTCAGGCTGGTCCTGAACCCCCGACCTCAGGTGATCTGCCCGCCTTGGCTTCCAAAGTGCTTGGATTATAGGCATGAGCCACCACGCACAGGCAAAAATAGCTTATTAGAAACTCAAGACAAAGTCTTGCTCTTTTGCCCAGGCTGGAGTACAGCAGCAAGGTCATAGCTCACTATGGCCTCAAACTCCCAGGCTCAAGTGATCCTCCCACCTCAGCCTCCCAAGTAGTGAGGACCACAGGTGTGCACCACCATGCCCAGTTAATCTTTAATTTTTTTGTTAGAGACAGGGTCTCACTATGTCTTGCAGGCTGGTTTTGAACTCCTGACCTCAAACAACCCTCTACCTCAGCCTCCCAGAATGTTGGAATCAAGCCACTGTGCCCAGCTGCTGGTTATCTGTTCTACACTAAAAACTATGTGGATGTACCAATCAATGCTGAGATGCTCTGATAAGTTCACAGGAATCTGTTTTCCCGAATCACCACAAAACTGCTTGTGTAGCCAGTATAGGAACCAAGGAAGCTGGCTACTAGGATTCCCCGAATTACTTTTGTTATTGTTTTTGTTGTTGTGACAGTCTCGCTCTGTCTCCCAGCCTAGAGTGCAGTGGTGTGATCTCGGCTCACTGCAACCTCCGCCTCCTGGGTTCAAGCGATTCTCCTCCCTCAGCTTCCTGAGTAGCTGGGATTACACGCGCATGCCACCATGCCCAGATACTTCTTGTATTTTTAATAGAGATGGGGTTTTCCCATATTGTCCAGGCTGGTCTCAAACTCCTGATCTCGTGATCCACCTGCCTCGGCCTCCCAAAATGCTGGGATTACAGGCGTGAGCCACCATGCCCGGCCCCTGAATGGTCAGTGTCACCTGTGTTGTTAAAGCTGAGCTGATGACAATTACACAAATGTTAACTGAACAAAGTGCCACACTAAGTGCCTGTGTCTGAAGATGGATGAGACACAATCTGTGTGTTCTCAGAGCTTCTCCAAGGTGAACTTTTCTGGGGCTTAACCAGCAACTGGCCAGGAAAAACAGCTTCAACTCTTATCAATAACTGTGCTATTTCAAAGTACTGGCATTCTCCCAGGGCACCCCCCAGGGTGTCAAAATTTAGCCAAAGCAAACTCCAAATGAACACAAAGTACTTATTTTCTCAAAGGAAAAAAAAACAAGCAAAATAGAACAAAAAACCCCCCCAGATTTATTTAGCTTAACATTTCCCCTGATCTAAAAAGAAAGATGTCAAAAGAATACCTAGAACATATACACAAGCACCTATTTCAATGAACTCAGATAACCTAAAAGAAAAATGGGCAAAGTTCTGTTCAACGGAGAAAATTATCTTCGCTTCTGGAAGATGTTCCCACGTCCCATTCCACGTCCTCTTCCTCTTGCAGCCACTGAAAGGGAAGGAGAGAAAATATGAGGTCAGGTCAGTGTGGTCAGTGAATGCTCAAAGCACAGAGTAGCCAGGGCCCTAGGACACCAGTTAGAAGGGTTCTGAAGGGTTTCCTGGTCCAACACCACCCTAGCCATTGCATTTCCCCCACTTTCTTTTGGTTTTGTTTTTTTGAGGCGCAGCCCCATTCTGTCGTCCAGGGTGGAGTGCAATGGCGCAATCTCGGCTCACTGCAACCTCCACCTCCTGGGTTCAGGCGATTCTTGTGTCTCAGCCTCCCAAGAGCTGGGACTACACGCATGCACCACAATGGAGATAGTGTTTCACCATGTTCGTCAGACTGGCCTTGAACTCCTGACCTCATATGATCCGCCTGCCTCAGCCTCCCAAAATGCTAGGATTACAGGCGTGAGCCACCGTGCTGGCCAACAGCCACTGCATTTCACAGAGGGGGTGGAGACGCGGGCAGGGGCTGAGGACTGGCATCAGAGCAGGAGCTAGCACCACCATGTTGCCTTCCAGGCCTACAGTGCTCTCTGCAAGAGGCTGGGAGGTAGCATACTGAGGGCAAAGAAGGTGGTCTGAGAGCTACAGAAAAGACAAATTCCTGGGGCTGGCCTCGGGTGAGCTAAGAAAACATTACAGATATAGTGAATTCATTTTTTCAATTCTGAAACAAATATAGTAGATAAGCGTTAACATCTATTATACCTAGGTGAAGGGTAATATTATTATTATTTTTTTTTTTTTTGAGAAAGAATTATTTCAGGCTGAGTACGGTGGTTCATGCCTGTAATCCCATCACTTTCAGAGGCCAGTGAATCACCTGAGGTCAGCAGTTTGAGATCAGCCTGCCCAACATGGCTAAACACCATCTCTACTGAAAACACAAAAATTAGCTGCACGTGGTGGTGTGTGCCTGTAATCCCAGCTACCGGGAGGCCAAGGTTTCTCCAACCAATTGAACCTGGGAGGCGGAGGAGGTTGCAGTGAGCTGAGATTGAGCCACCACACTCTAGCCTGAGCAATGAAGACTCCATCTCAAAAAAAAAAAAAAACCCTATTTCATAGTAGCAAAAACAAAACACTCTTCATATAAACAGTATGATAAAACTGCTGTTCTCCTCTGTAACCCAGGGGTTCTAGGATAGGACAGGCTTTGAAGGACAGGTGAAATATTCTGATGGCTACTAACTGGAGCCTCATCTCTCTGCTCATACAGACCTTGGAGTTGTCCCAAAGAGCAAGAGAAGAGAGCTCACCTACCAGTGGACAGGACCACAGCAAAGGGCTGGGAGGAACAGATGGCTCAGGCAAAAGTCAGTGGGCCTGGGTAAACTCACTGCCAAGGGCCTTGCAGTGCACACCCATAAGGTGTATCTTTTGCTAGAGAAGATGGTGACAATGAAGGTGGCCCTTCCCTGAGGAAGCAGAAAGAGCACTAGTTCTAGCCATAAAGCTAGAATTTCTGAAAACTCTTCCTTCCCCAGGACAAAAGGTACAGAGCTTCTGATTCTATCTTCTCACAGCTGCCTCTTGTCTGGGAAGGGCAAGGAGATTCTCTGATTAGTTTTTTTTTTTGGGGGGGGGGGCATTTCAAAGGATTACACACTATTACATCTTTAAACTTGAGCTTTCATCCATGGTTCCTGGCTCACAACTCCTGTAGACCTTGTTATAGTATTTTGTTATAACATTGGGGCACTTTAGGCCTCAGAAGCAGGACTCAGGAAACAGAATCTCTCTCAAAACTTCTCCTGCCCTCCCTTCCACTTGCCCAAGGCAGGACCCTAATCTGATTGTGGGTCACAAGACCTCACTCCAGAGAAAGGTCCTGCCCTATGCCCTGGAAGAAGAAATGCTGCAGAGAGGCCAAAAAGAATCTGGACAGGCCTTGCGGCGTTTCCTTACCCTGCCTATTAGTATTAGATCACACCCTTTTGTCTAATTGCATTTCCACATGGTTGTCCATCCTTCTGTCTTGTCTCCCCAATGAAGTCTCTATAAAAAGGCTCAAGAGGACAGGGTTAGGGGAGCTTTGGGACAGCTGACCACGCGGAGCCCAACAGGAAGGTGAGCAAGAACTCATCCATGTGCCGGGAGGAAACTCCATGCAGACAGAAGCTCTCGTGCTTCGGACCCTTCCAGATTTCACCCTATGCATGCATCTCTTCATGTGGCTGTTTGAGTTCGAAACCAGGCTGACCAACATGGAGAAACCCTGTCTC